CTGATGGCCAATGCCCCTTTTAATCAGATACTATAAGAAAAAGGTATTAAGAAATTCTGATACTATAAGAAAAAGGTATTAAGAAATTCTAAAATTGGAAGACTCATCTCTATTTTGTAGAAATTTTTAGTTTAGGAATGGTTTTTAAGAGAGTGTTTGTTTTAGAATATAAATATGAATCCAAGAGGAGTTTGAACCATTGAAAAATAAAACTTCTGGCATGAGGGCATGATCAGTAGTAATTGTATACAGAATCGGAGATGTTATTCAACTTATGTCTAGTAAAATTGTTATTCCAGTTAAATTTTGGAATCATAAATCTTTAGAAAAGTGTTGGTTATAGACAATATAAAATCTAAAAGGCCATGTTCACAATAGACAGCAATAAAAAGATTTTCTTTCTTTAAGAATTTTTGTGGATAATTTAGTGGTGGTACAAGGGCAGGTATCTTCTAAAAGGAGCAACGTTGTATAACGGAATCTGGAACTAGTCTTTTTATGGCTTCTTTAAAAGATAATAGGGTAAATTTGCCACAGGCATATGACTAGCAGGTGGATAACTGAGACCCTTTTAAGCACCAAGGCATGTCACACAAGGGATTTGACATCTGGACTAAGGAAGAAGTGATGACTTAGAGGAATTCTGTTGAAATGCACTCCTTTTGTTTTGTTATAAATGTTTTTGTATGATTTTTTTTTCACCAAGTTTTCTTTTTCCCCTGGAAATTATTTCCAAACAATAAAGGTCTTGTAAATCTGTTTTTGTTTAAGAAGTGATACAAAAATTGACATTCTGAGAATTATCTTCCCAATTTCTCAAATGCCAAGTGAAATGGGAGGTCGTTTCACCTTAGCATGTGATTCTTCTGTTTTCAACATTTAATTTCTTTTTAATTCCTATTTTTCTTTGGTATTTATTTATTTTTCATGAATACTAAATTTTCATTAATTTTTTTAATATTAAAATGTATACAAAAGAAATAATATGATGAAAACTGTACTAAGTTATGGGTCTTGATACTTTCATTTATAAAGCTTTGGTTTAATTTGTGCTTTTATCCAGTGAGTCACTATGAAAGTATAAAAATACATTTTTATAGTAAAATTACCAAAACACCTATTTATAGTAAAATTACCAGCAATACATATATAAAGCAAAATGACAAACAATACATTTTATCTGTAGTTGAAGACATGCAATTGCATTCAAAATATATTTAGTTGAAGTCATAAAATTGTCTTCAAAATATTTAAATTTCAGCATTAAATAACACGTGGAGGTTGATATTCTTGTACATATATTAAAAATGAATATTTTTGTCATGGAAAAAAAGAAAATGTTTAAATCTAATTGACTTAAACGTATTGCAGAAGAATATATCTTCAAATAATATTCATAAATTCTAGCTTATTAAACTTAAATATCACTGCCAAAATGTTCACATCATTAAATGTATTTCCTTATCTAAGTTCCAGGTTCTTAATTTCTATGAAGTAACTCAATTAAAAGTACTGTAAAAATGTTTATATTCCATTATCAAAAAATTAGCACTTATTAATCATATATGTGTGTATTCATCATCATCATTAGTGATCTCTCTTCATGAAAGATGATGCTAGTAGAAAATGTTAAAACAATTTAAGATATGGTCAGAATATCTTAATTACTACAAATGATTAAAATGACTAATTAGCAGCAAAAAGTTAATTGTCATTGTGTAATATGTGCTTTAATCTTTCTTAACAATATTTTATGAATATGTAAATTTTCATGGTGAGTTATAGTTTTAAAAAGACAATATTGTTTTGTAAAAACAAGTTGCATTGTCAAAATGTTTAAATATGATATTCTAACAACAGTTATGAGTTTCTCCGAGTACACATGAGAATATGTACTTCAACAGTTATGAGTTTCTTTGAGTACACATGAGAATATGTACTTCAACACTTATGAGTTTCTTCGAGTACACATGAAAATATGTACTTCAATATGTAGATATTAGAATATTAGCAATGAAGGAGTACCATCCAAGAAAAAAAAAAAAAAAAATTTCCATCATCTGGATTCCTTTTCTCTTGCATCTGTCTTGATATTCTCTGCTATTTGTTGGTTGTCCTTTCTTTACCTTTTTTACTTTTCTGGCACTACCATATTTCTCAGAGGTTTTCCTGACCTCCAAGTGATGCTCCTTTTCCTGATCTCAACTTTGCTCTCTCATTTCTACTGATACAGAGATTTCCAAATTATTAACATTACTAGCCTACCAACTTTTGACAATGAATGGCAAAATAATTGAAAAGGATTGCCACCTTTATGTAGTTGGTGTTTATATGTGCTGTAATCTTTTTTTTTCTCTAATTTATCACTTCTTTCTGGTCACTCACTTTTGTAATGTTGTCCAGTGTGGTTACTGAAAATAATAACTCAAACAGCAACTTACAAAGTATAAGGGTTTATTTTAAACATGATACTAGTAGATATTTACAAGTTCATCTGAAACTGGAAAACAAGCAATATTGTTATGTTCCAGGCTAGGACCAAGGAAGAACAACATGAACACAAGAGTAGAAATAACAAAGGTATATTACATGAAATAATAATACAAGATGTGGAAGGTGTTAGTATGACTTTCAATCTGGTTTGGAGTGAACTACTATTGGCTCGACTCGATTCGACCCTCTCTCTTGAGAGGCGTAGTATACATAGTGTTAGGAAGAGTTCATTCTGTAGTTATAGGTAAGGACCCATCACAAATATTTACCTGAGATACCCACTGAGTGGGATGTCGCACAAGGCCAGCTTTTCATGGGTTTTTCTGAGCCCGTAGGGTGTCCTGGGTATGACAGTAAACTACATCCGCGTCCTGCATAAGACAATAAACTATATCCAACAGCAAAGCCTCTGATCAGGAAGTTTTGAGAAGTATGGAACCACCTCTTAATTGCTGATTTCACAGGTCCACCCTGACCTGGGGTGGTAGAACCTGTTAGGGTCCCAGCTAAGGGCAAATAATTAACACCAATAGCATTCAATAACCCATTGAGGTTGATATGCTGTAAAACAAACCAAACAACCAACTGAGCCTGTAGGCTCAGGAAAAACATTTCCCATAGACACCCTATACACAGGGTAAAGTTTGTTTACCTCTTCAGATGTGACTCTGCCCTTTGACATAGTCTTGTCTGTGGTTCCTCTCTGCCCAAAGGCAGAGAGGTTGACAAGTAGACCAATCCAAAACTCAGAGGCCTAATGCACTCTGAAGCTGGAAACCAAGCCCTCCTGAGACCATCACCATAGATGTTTATATTCCTACTGGAACAGTCCATTTAACAGAGGTGTATCAGTTTTTGTATACTGAGGGTTATCAGTTACTTCTGGAACAGTCCATTTAATAGAGGTGTATCAGTTCTATGTATACGGAGGCTTAACAGTTCATTTCCTGCAACGCTCACTGTTTTCTTACTATGTTTAATATTTCTCTCTATTTATATGTTCTCTATTTCCATTTTAATATGTTACTGTTAACATATTAATTTTTCTTGCTTCTCTCCCTCTCCTTCTCCTCTCTCTCTTATTCCTACATCTCTGTTTTCTCATCTCCAGTCTCTCCCTCCTCCATACTGCCAATCACTTTCCTCACCCCCAATCTCTCTCTCTCTCTCTCTCTCCTCAACACTGCACTCCAGTCTCTCTCTTTATCTTCTCAACCCTTCACTCAAATCTCTCACTTTCTTTTTCTAACCCAGAATTCCAGTCCATTTCTCTCTCTCCACCTAACCATGCACTCCAGTCTCTCTTTCTCTCCACCCAACTGTGCACTCCAGTCTCTCTTTCTCTCCACCCAACCGTGCACTCCAGTCTCTCTTATTCTCCACCCAACCGTGCACTCCAGTCTCTCTTTCTCTCCACCCAACCATGCACTCCAGTCTCTCTTTCTCTCCACCCAACTGTGCACTCCAGTCTCTCTTTCTCTCCACCCAACCATGCACTCCAGTCTCTCTTTCTCTCCACCCAACCATGCACTCCAGTCTCTCTTTCTCTCCACCCAACTGTGCACTCCGCAAGTCTCTCTTTCTCTCCACCCAACCATGCACTCAGTCTCTCTTTCTCTCCACCCAACCGTGCACTCCAGTCTCTTTTTCTCCACCCAACCATGCACTCCAGTCTCTCTTTCTCTCCACCCAACTGTGCACTCCAGTCTCTTTTCTCCACCCAACCATGCACTCCAGTCTCTCTTTCTCTCCACCCAACCATGCACTCCAGTCTCTCTTTTCTCTCCACCCAACCATGCACTCCAGTCTCTCTTTTCTTCCACCCAACTGTGCACTCCAGTCTCTCTTTCTCCCACCCAACCATGCACTCCAGTCTCTCTTTCTCTCCACCCAACCGTGCACTCCAGTCTCTCTTTTCTCTCCACCCAACCATGCACTCCAGTCTCTCTTTCTCTCACCCAACTGTGCACTCCAGTCTCTCTTTCTCTCCACCCAACCATGCACTCCAGTCTCTCTTTTCTCTCTCCACCCAACTGTGCACTCCAGTCTCTCTTTCTCTCCACCCAACCCAACTGTGCACTCCAGTCTCTCTTTCTCTCCACCCAACTGTAGTCACTCTTCTTCCAGTCTCTCTTTCTCTCCACCCAACCGTGCACTCCAGTCTCTCTTTCTCTCCACCCAACCGTGCCTCCAGTCTCTTTTTCTCCACCCAACCGTGCACTCCAGTCTCTCTTTCTCTCCACCCAACTGTGCACTCCAGTCTCTCTTTCTCTCCACCCAACCGTGCACTCCAGTCTCTCTTTCTCTCCACCCAACCGTGCACTCCAGTCTCTCTTTCTCTCCACCCAACTGTGCACTCCAGTCTCTCTTTCTCTCCACCCAACTGTGCACTCCAGTTTCTCTCTCCACCCAACCGTGCACTCCAGTCTCCCTCCCTAGCCCAAACCCCTGCACTCCACTCTCTTTCCACTCCAGTCTCTCTTTCACCTCTCAACCTAACATTCTAATCTCTCTTTCTCCTCCTAACCCTGCACACTAATCTCTCTCTCCTCCCTACACTGCACTCCAGTCTCTCCCACTCCTTTCAACCTTGTACTCCAGTGTCACTCTCTTCCTCTCCTCCCAACCTTACACACCCGTATAGCTTTCCCTCATACCAATCTTGCACTTTAATCTCACTTCTTTTTGTTCTCTTTCATCTCTCTCTTTTTTATCTTGTTCTCTGTTTATTTGTAGAAAACCCTTTTTTTTATTCAAATATAAACAGTGCCCATAAGTTTCCTATTATTAGTAAAATAAGATTTTTAAAGAATTGTCAACTCGCTCATATACTCTGTGCAAACACTTAGAAGATTACGTTTTTGCTACATTGAATTTCATGATCAATACTAATTCATACAATACTGCCCAATTTACTTGTGATACTGCTTCCTGGTATATTAACTTTAATTTTTTATTTTGTTTCTTCCACTCATTGTTTTTAATCAACTGCGACAGTTCATGCATAAGTAAAAACTGACAAAAGACTACAGACATCTGAAATACCCTTCAGCTATCTCTATACTCTATCAGGTTGTTTCTCCTGGGATCTCAAAGTAAGCATCTAACCCCACTTGATTAATACACCTTAAAAAAAAAGTGGGGGAAATAACCTTAGGTAAAAGATAACCCAATAAAATAGAAATTATCTGTCTCTCTCTCCTGGATCTGAAATCCAGTAATCAGTTAATTTGATCTGAGGAGCCCTAACCTGAAATTAGTTGGGTAGGAGGATCCGAAACAGTTCATCTCCCATTGGCCAATTGACTGATCAAAAAGAAAAAGGTAAGGAAAAAAAAAAAAGACATGGTTGAGTTATCTTTCTTGAAACAGCCAAAATGGGTTTACAAAGGAAATAAGTTGGCTTTCCAACAATAGGGAAAATATGCTCTTGTACATTGTGCTATGCTCTCTTTTACAATGCAGACAAAGATCCTGTTATCTTTGATCCAGAAGATGGATGCCAGGGGAAAATCAGCTTTTTCCTAATCCAGTAATGTTTAGGTAAAATCTGCATAGCTCAGGTGTCCGTTGAGTTATCTCCAAAGATGATTTAGGGCTCAGTTTGGAAAAGAAACCAAAAAAAAAAAAAGAGCGGAAGAGGAATTTCCTGAATGAAAATCTCCCAGATGAAACCAGCCATTTTGTAAGTTATATGTAAAACTTGTTTGATGTGACACTTGTCTAAGTGACTTGAGCAAATTCTTTTTGATAATACATAAGGAAATTTCTTAACCAGAGAAATGCAGTGTAGGTAAACATAAGATGACAGTTTTCAAGCATAGCTTATGCAGTGGAAAGAAACATGTCTTTACCCCATCATTTAATACATGAAAGACTATTAAAATCTTGCAGAGGGTTCAAATCTCTTTGTGTGCATTTTGATTTGACATTTTTAATGAAAAGTTAAAATCTTGTTGGAAACAAAGAAAAGAAAACTGAACTATAATATCATTCCTGCTATATGACAGTGTCAGTATGTGACAGTGAACAATCTCCTCCCAGACAAAGAAGAGACTTGAAGCAACAGAAATGTGCTTCTACAGAAGGATCATGTGAATACCATGGATGGAACATGTGAGCAATGTCAAATTTAGAATAAATGGAAACAAAAAGGACACTTATGCTGAACAATAGAAAGAGACAGTTTAAATTTCTAGGGTATATAAAATTTGGAAAATTTGATACTTAGAGAACAGATTGAAGGCAAGAGGGCCAGAGGAAAAGAATGCATAACCTACTTGGAGAGCTTGAGTAAATAGATATGGTTATAACAAAAAGACAAAATTTATTAAATAACAAAGGACTGGAAATTGTGAAGAGCTATGATTGTGAATTTCTTGAAAAGACATGGTATATAGAAGAAGAATGTTCCATCTGTGTGATTAATATCTATCACTAAATTTAGTTGATGAACAATGCAGGATACTCTACTGAACAAATATTGTGTAAAATAGATGGCATTTTTCCTTATTAGGCTATAGACTTATTGATGTATCCATTTATTTCATCAACTACCTTAAAGTCATCATTAGAAGCCAGGAATTAAATCAGCCCACTCTTACTTAGGCATGGATATGGTTAATGGTGTACTAAACCAACAGTTATGGGCTTTGGTTGGTGGAAGGTATGTTTTTTAAGACAGAGAATCTATGAATTCTGAAGAGCCCTGATTGCCAGCATCCTGAAGGGACATGGCACATAGAAAAAGAATGAATGTACAAAATCTGAAAGCAATAAATTGAATGATTTTCTCTTTTCTGATTCTAAATTTTAACATTTCTTATTCGATGACCTGAGAATTTTTTTCTAATGTGAGTCTTTATATTTTTTAATTATAAGTGTTATATTTTGATCTTTTACAATTTCTTTTCATCATGTCAGCTTCTTGGAACAGTCTACCATTGTCATAACTAAGATACTGTCACCTAGTATTGCTAGTGAAAGGGAGGTAACTCTATTATTTCAAAGTGTTGAAGACATGACAAACATAAAATATACTTGGCATACACATATATTTACACACACACACATATATATATATATATATATATTTACACACACACACACACACACATATATTTATATTTACACACACACACACATATATATATATATATATATATATATATATATATATATATATATACATTCATTTGTATTTTTTGTATTTTAGCAGATGATGAAAATGATAATGATGTGAATTTGGCATTCCAACATCAACTGTATTATTATTGGCTGAAATTTATAAAATCTTTTTCTTAAAACAGTTTTTCTGGAAAATAGGCTTTTCAAGTCCACTGTTATCACTCCTTTTTTTATATTGATGAGAGTTTCCTTCCTAACCTTTTGTTTAATGTAGTATGGAATGTCAACATCTTGATGAATTGAAAGAGCAATGATAGGCATAACTCCAAGATATAGAAAGAAGTCAACATGGATCAGAGAAATATACTACGATAAGATATATCATAGAATTGGTTAATCAACAAAAATATTAGTAGGTGAAAACCTGGCAAGAAGAAAGGATGCCAGATGAAGCAAAGGGTTGCTTGATTAGTGCCCAATTTACAGTGAATGTAATAGAAAAAGAACAGGCAGAATATAGAGAAATGTGATAGAGGAGTTTACTAGATAGACATGGCAAAGAATAGCAATCCCAAGTGTCATGTAAAGAATTTGGAAAGGTCTTTGTCTCGTCATTAACTTGAAATTATTATTATTATTATTTGTGTGTTATGTTTCTTACTTTGTATCCTGTAGAGCCAGGTCCAACTATAGTCCTTAGGCCCTATAAGAGAATTGTCATTTAATTGCTAGTACTTTTCTTAGTATGTTCCTAGTAGGACAATTTTCTGGGAAACTTGCATGTTACCTGGGACACTGTTAGTAAAATTGTCGTTCCTTTTCTCACAAGGTCCAGAGTTCCAATTACTATTGGTACAGTTTCAGTCTTCATTCCCTACATCCTGTTAATCATGATCTCCAGGTCCTTGTATTTGGACAATTTTTATGGAGGTGTTTCTCTCGGATGGTACTTCTATATCAATAAGCATGCATTTCCTGAATTTCTTGTCTTTTATGGTAAAATCAGGCCTGTTGGCTTTTATTTCCCTGTTGTTATTATTATTATTGATGATTATATTGTTTTTGTTTAGCAGTTGTAGTCTGAAGACAAACATCACATTAGAAAAATAAACTAAATCATGCTTTTCATTTAGAACAAATGAAAAATACTGTTCCTTATAGCATTCTATTGAGAGTTATTAGTAAATGAGTGAAGAATGGCCATCTCACAAAACCCTGATCCTATCAGCTGAAGGTGAAATCTGGTGTCATCTCAATGCTCAATAGAATACAGGTCGTTCTGGAGAGGGATATTTAAAATTCTTTCTTTTCATAATCATTTCATCTATTTATAAAAGCTGGATCTGATGATGACATTTAATGTGAGCTAGGCAGATAATCACCCAATGCATATTTAGTCTGTATTTTTTATTTTTGTTTGTTTATATATATATATATATATATATATATATATATATATATATGTGTGTGTGTGTGTGTGTGAGCTGGGGAGTAACCGAGAGCTTTAATATTATTTTTATTACTGATACTGAGAGAATAAAAATATTACATTTGAATGTGTACAACTGGTGAATGGGCTTTTCAAATTTGAAAAACAATATTGGAAATTATTGACTGATTTCTTATCACACAGCTGTGGGTAATGGTTTTATTATACACTAAGAAAAAGATTTGTATCTGATTTATTCTAGTTTTCATTTCTCTACTGGATTATTTATTATCAGATTTTAATGACCTCATGTTTGATTTTTTTTTTCCTTTATTGTCAATTTTTTTCAATATTGAACTGTTTCCTTGAATTAATGCCAAGAGGAAATGTTATACACTTTCTGCTAAAACGGATATGTACAAATCAGTTTCATCAAGGTTTAAATTATTAAAAAAATTTCCATGATAGCTTGTTTCTTTTATTTTCTATTTTTTTTTAATGGTATCCAAAAATGTGTATATATTTACAATTCTATAGCATTTTTTTTTTACATATTTTTTAAATGAAAATTTTAAAAACTCGCTTGAAAATGATGCTTAATAGAAACTTTATTAGAAATTAGAAAATATTAACAAAGATCAATGTTTTTTCTTTTAATGGAAATTAATCTTAGAATATAAGACTAATTGAAATTCAAAAGTATTTTATCTCTTAAAAAATAACACCATGTTTTGTGCAGATTTTTAAATGATTAATATGTAAAGCAAAAAGTAAAGATAAAAGTTTAATGGAATAAAAACAAGTATAAATATATTATTCCTTTATATTTACAATTAAAAATTTAATGAAATGAAAACAGTTTCAAAGGTTTAATGGAATGAAAACAAGCATAAATATATTATTCCTTTATATTTACTTCTTCCTTCAATATTTTATCTAATTCAATAAAAT